TTGCTGAGTTAGAACTACTGTTTCAATAATTTCTTCTTATGTGGTGAAGGATCAGAGCATGGGGATTGGGTAGTGGTGGGAGGGTAGTTGGGTTTAGTCTTGAAGGATAAGTGCTTGCTTCGGCAGTACATATACTAAAATAGTCTTGAAGGATAAATGTTGGGAGGGTGCGTGGAGGGGGAAATGGTATTTTCAGAATGAGAAACACTGAAAAATCTGGAAGGGAGAGAACATGGAACAGGGAACTGTAAGTAGTCTTGGATGGCAGGGGGTCCACTGGGAGGAGTAGCCAAGGCTGGAGCTTGGGGTAGCTTGGAGTAAGATCATCAAGGACTTCTGTGCCATAGTTAGAGATCAAATTTTATTCTAAGGGGATAGGATACCACAGAGGGCTTTAACCAGGGGAGGGGATGGCCAAAATGGCAAAATCACTTTTTAGAAGGTTTGTTTTCACAGCAAAAATAGAGAATGGATTGAAAACTAGAGTCAGCAAGAAGCTGATGCCTTCTTTCTTTCCATCCACCCAAACCACCCCATCCATCCTTCTATCTGTTCACCCAGCAAACAAGTCCTACCAAATGATGCTTCTAAGAACAGGCTGTGTCATCAGATAGACTTGCATTTCATATCCAGTCTTGCCACTTACTGTCTGTGTGACTCTGGGTGCATTACTGAATCTGTCAGTAATTCAGTTTTATCACCTGAAAAATAAGAAGAATAATATCCATGAATACTTCATAGATTGGCTGGGGAATTAAATAAGACAGTGCGTCATGAATACTCGACGCCATGTGAGGAACTCATAAACATTCATAAACTTTTTTTTTTTAAGATTTTATTTATCTGTTTGACAGAGAGATGGAGAAGGGAACACAAGCAGGGAGAGTGGCTGGCAGAGCCAGAAGGAGAAGCAGGCTCCCTGCAGAGCAAGGAGCCTCATGTGGGCTCTATCCCGGAGCCCCCTCCGGGATCATGACCTGAACTGAAGGCAGATGCTTAACCTCCTGAGCCATCCAGGCGCCCCAACATTCATAAATTTTTAGCTGTTTTTGTTAACAGGTTGAAGGCACAGATTTGGGAACTCACATGGTCCTGGGGACTTTGAAATCCACGAGGATTGTTATACTTTCTCTAGGATGATACTCAATTCGGCGGACATCTACCGAGCACATACTCAGATACAAGGCATCACGCTGGGCAGTGTGGGAGGTGCAGAGGTGGACACCTCCAAGAGTGTGTCTACCAAGCAGAACATGTAAACGCTCTAGTCCTTTTAGTGGTGGAGATTTTGAAGAGCTTTTTGGAGAAGGTGGGGTCTGAGATGGATCTTAAAGGATGAACAGGACTCTAGTAGGTAGATCTGGGGTGGGAGGCCTGGTAGGGGGAAGGCCCTTCACATATAAGTAGTGGTAGGTATAGAAGTCTGGAGGCAGGAGGAGAGTGTGTATTAAGAAAATCAGGAGGGCATCCCGGGTGGCTCGATGGTTTAGCGCCTCCTTTGGCCCAGGGCGTGATCCTGGAGACCTGGGATCAAGTCCCACGTCGGCCTCCCTGCATGGAGCCCGCTTCTCCCTCTGCCTGTGTCTCTGCCTGTCTCTCTCTCTCTCTCTCTCTCTCTTTCTCTCTCATGAATGAATGAATAAAAATCTTAAAAAAAAAATCAGGAGAAGATACGTGGGATGAAAATACACAAGAACTCTCAAAGATGGTATAAGGAGAGATAAAGTATTGGCAGACAGGTAAGTGTCAATTATTTTCCGACGACAACTTTGAATTCCATTCTGAGGATTCGGGACTTTAATGTGAATGCTAGTGAGGGGCAGAGAGATGGTATCAGGCTTGTATTTAGAAAGATTGACAGAGGTATGAATGAGTACAGGAGAGGAAATGGAGATTAGAGAGATCACTTAGAAGACTTATTTTTGGAAGAGTCTCAGCAAGAGGCCCTGGGGGGAGCGGAATTCTATAGCTTTCAGCAAATAGAATTGATGGGGATCTAGTGCCTCCCTTTTTATGGAGTGAGATGCAGCCTGAGAGACTGGGAGTGGTAATGCCATGGAGAAGGGGCAGCAGGGGAAGGAGGCTCAGGACGAGGGGATGGCAAGCTTGGTGTTCAGCCCAAGGAGCTTGTGAGGCATGTGTTTGGAGGAAACGTCCATTTGGCAGCGGATTGTTGGGCTGAAGCGAGCAAGTGTGATTCATCAGAGCAGAAGCAGGTAGGGGAGGGAGTCTTCTGCTGCAAGGCCAAGTGGGAGTCCTCTGAAGCAGGAGACAGATTGGACAATGAAAGGCTTACCGTTGGGGAAGGACCAAACTTCAGGCGGAGTTAGCAACAGAGAAGCCAGTGTCCGAGGCCAGGAGAGGAATAGAAGGAGGAGGTATGTGGCACCAGGGAGGAGAGGAGAGATCTTCGGGAACAGCGCAGATGATCCGTAGCCTTAAAAGCACAGAGACTAAAGTGACAAATGACCGTGTAAGTTTATTGACTGATGTTTTGACTGATGTATGGAAAGCCGAAATGTAGGTACCCTTGGGTGTCTTAGGTCAGGTCAGCTGATAGGGGGCCACTAGTCAGTGAGGGAATGTCAAGGACATTTTGATCATTGAGTGTGAGACTCCCGTGGTGTTGAGTAGTTGAAGTGAGTTTCCTCCTGTTAGTCTTGGCCCACCCCTGCCTGAACTCCTCCTCAACAGCCTGTTATCAGGGGGGGATTGGGAGTTTGGAAGATAAAGGGATCTCTTATTCTCTTATTTAAGAGAAAGATCCAGAGCCAAGCTGTGGTCTCATGTTAGGTGTCATCCATTCCCTGGTATGTCTGAGTAAACTGAGGATAGGGGCAGAGTACCTGGCTGTTCTTCTAGCAGAGGAATCCAAGAAGACAGTTTAATCCTTGGAGCACTTGGCCATGGGTTGAAATTGGCCCGAGAGGCAGCTACCCCAGAAGGGTGAGCACCCGAGTCTCTGCCCCCCCCCCCCACCCCAGACCTTCCAGAGGCTTCCCCCGGAGGCTGCGTCCCACCATCTTCTTGCCATCATTCCAAGGCTCTGCTTTTCCAACCCAAGAAAAGGAACATAATTCCCTCTCTCCAGGGTTTGCAGTAGTGAAAGAGTTTGGGGGGGGGGGTCAGAGGATAAAGACGGTGGGGATGGAGTGCAAACTTGAAGAGCTTCTTTTTGCAAATCCCAAGTATTTTTAGTAAAGTGAGTTCTAAAACTGAAGTCTGTTTTTGGGTGAAGCAAAACACTGGACCTTACCCTATGTGTCTCCATATATCTTCCGGTCACATTTGTCTTCGTTTTCTCTGGCCTTCTATGTTTCACTTTCCTTCCAAAGTTAGAGCACTGCCCTTACCTCCGCCACTGCTGCCCTCCTTCCCACACTCGCTGGTTTGGGCTCTGGCCTTCCTTCCTTCTCTGCTGAGGATCCCTGAGTGGAAGGGCCTGCTGAAAGGTACATGGTTTTCATTGCAAATGGGTCCCCTGGGACATCTGAGGTCACAGCTGGATCTTCATGCAAATGACAGTGTTCCCCACCCTGCACAGCACTCGCTTAGGGAAGGCTGGGATGAAGGGGCCCTCACAGCCTCAGATCTGGGGTGTCCCTGAAGCCTGGCCCTGCTCTCTGACCGCTGAGTGGGTAAGAGGGACCCTCAACGTCTCACTGCGCCCTCCCCACCCCCTTGACCTTTGAGTTTCTTGCCTTTCCATCTCATCCTTGCCTTCCATCCCATTCCTCCCGTCTCTTTCCCATTTAACCACGTTCTTTTCCATGTCTTTTCTTCCTCCATCCTCTCAGAGCAAAGCAAACACTTGTTAGGACTTAACTGCGTTCAGTTTTCCTCCCCACTCCATCTTTTGTCATCTTTCTTGTTCCATCAAGAGCACAGCTAAATATCCAGCAGGAAATACTTACACAGCTTATAAGCCTTGGCGTAAGTGGCTTGGTACCGTGGGGTGTCTAGGATACCTGTTGGAAATGAAATTGCGTGCAGGGGACTCTGGAATGCAAGAACTTCTACTGTGTTCATCTTCGCCCTGGGCAGGGGAAGAGGGGAGCAGTGTGGCTTCCAGGGAAATACTCTGTGGTGTGTGAATTGCCAGTCAGAAGACCCAGGTTTTGTTGTAATCCCTCTGCAATCAGAGGACCCTTTAACTTCTCTTTGCCATGTGTAGGGCTTCATTTTAAAAATTAGGGTTGTGGCACTTGTCATTACTACCTCAGTGGAGGAGTGTTTTAAGAACCCAGTGAAATAATATGCATGTGACTGCTTTGAAAAGTAGGAAAAGTAGGATTAGGAACGTCTGGGGAGCTCAGTCAGTTGAGCTGCCTCCAGCTCAGATGGTGATCTCAGGATCCTGGGATCGAGCCCCAGAGCCCCACACTGGGCTTCCTGCTCAGTGAGGGATGTGCTTCTCCCTCTCCCTCTGCCCCTCCCCTACTCGTACTTTCTCTCTCTCTCAAATAGATAAAAATATTTTTTTAAAAAGAGAGAAAAGGAGGTAAGATTATACTTAACCATCTTTATGGGCACATCTCTGCAAAACAAGATGTCGAAACTGGATCTGCAGGGTTCGTAGGAGAGGAGCTCATGGCTATTAGATCTCTGGTGCGTCTTTGAGCTCTTAAATTCTGTTTTCCCTTGACAGTTCTTGGCATATAATAGGGGCTCTGACAATATTTGGCTGGATGGACAGACAGATGGTTGGATGGATGGATGACCATCTAAATGTCTAAAGGCCCTACTTGCCCCTTCTGGGCCCATCTCCATTTCACGTTGGCACCCCCACCCCCCACCCCCGGCCAGCAGCAGTATTGCGGTGCTGTGAGTTCCTAGATGGGGCCCTGTCTCCCTGGTTCCTCCCAGGCCCTAACCTAACCCTGGCTCCCTGAGCTGGCTCCCCGGGACCCGGGACCGGGCTCTGGCCTTCAGTCACTGAGTGCCTGTCTTTCCTCCTCTTCCCTCCCCACCCCACCTCCTCTCTCCATCTGCCCCTGCAGCACTGCCAGTAACTCCAACCGCAGCACGCCGGCCTGCTCCCCGATCCTCCGGAAACGGTCTCGCTCGCCAACCCCGCAGAGCCCCGACGGAGACACCATGGTGGAGAAGGGCTCAGATCACTCCTCGGACAAGTCCCCGTCCACGCCGGAGCAGGGTGTGCAGCGCAGCTGCTCCTCGCAGTCCGGCCGGAGCGGCGGCAAGAACTCCAAGGTGAGTGGGACCCTGCCGGGGGATGCTCTGCAGGGAAGCCAGCGTTGGGGGGGCTGGCGAGGTAGAGGACCCCTTCCCCGGGGGCCCTGGTGTCAGCCGGGCGGGCGGGACAGGCAGGGGAGACCCTAGTCAAGTTTGGTCTTCTCGGCTGAGCCCTCAGAGCACCCCCCCCTCCCCGGGGGGAACTCGTTCCATGATCCCACAATGACCTCTCTTTGGGCTGGGGAGCCCTCTGTAGGTTGGGGTTTGGAGAGAGGGTGCTTGGGGACCAGGAGGGGTCATCTGGTTAGCCCTGCCTCCTTTTTCAATTGTGGGGTAGAAAGGAACATTAATTATTTGGGACACTACAGAGCCTGGAAGAGAGTCCTTGGGAAGAGTGGGGTCTTTAACCTCCACGCTGGCTATCACTCTGCCTCACCTTTGGTAATAATGCCACTCGGTACTCATTCGTCCGGGAGGACAGTGACCGGGCCTCTGCATCCCTCCCCGTGGTGTCAGGGGCTGCCGCCTGAGGACCTGGGCCTTTGCCTAAGGATAGACATACCCTAAGCTCCAAGGTTGGGGTGGGGGCTGGGCTACTGTTGGGTCCCCAGAGATTTTCTCAGCCCCCTCCTCAGTCCTTTGGGAAGCAGGAGATGTCTTTGCCTAAGATGCTCCTTCAAAAAAGCTCTTTGCTGCTTGGACTCAGAGGCCCTGGGGAGAGGGGGAGGGGGGCCCCTGGGAGACTGGGAGCTGGCTTCCCACCTGATTTGTCTTTTGATCTCTTGTTCTTCCTCTTCTTCCCCACCGTCTCCCAAATACCTCCTTTGTATGCATGGTCTTAGTCTCACAAGCGCCTGTCAAAAGTAAGCCATCTTTTCTCTCTGTCTTTGGTCTCCCCTCCGGTGTCCAATTGTCTGTAGTGCTCTGCACCCCTCCCTCTGCCCCCACCCACTCTGGCCCCTGTCTTGCTTGGTCCCTTCCCCAGAAGGGCCGGCCCCACTGCCCCCTGGCAGGCTGGCTTGAAGTTACTGAGGGACCGTCCTGTTGCACCTGTTGCACCCAGAGTCGGAGAACAGACCTGTCCGCCCCCTCCCCTGTCTCTGCCTGCTACCCAAACACTGCCTCGGGCTGGGCACCTCTTCCCTCCTTACATGGAGCCATCTAGAAGCAGAGTCCTGCCAGGGCTTAGTTTCACTGCCTCGGGGAAGGGAGGCCCCAACCAGCTGGGCTCCGGGCCCTGATACCCCCTTGTACCTGCTTTAGTGGCAGAGTCCCGATTCCCCGGACAAGGTGACTGGAGGTCTCAGGTTCCCCTCGGGGACCTCCCCGGCGCAGCAGAGTGACCCCGGGAGCCCTACCTGGCACCCTCCTTCTGTCTGCCTGCCCACTGACGGCCGCGCAGCCCCAGCACCCCTTACCGCTTCCACCCACTGCCCAGCGCTGGGCTTGTGGTGCCCTTAGGATCCCGAGTGGCCATCAGAGCAGAACTATTCTCCCAGAAGGACATGGTGCTAGATCTGGAGGTCGGTGGACGTTGACAGTCCCCGCAGAAGCGCCACCAGGTCAGAAGGCAGAGCCAGCATCTGCCCGGCCCCCCCAGGATTTCAGAGGTCCGAGCAGAACTTGGAGGGAGTACAGCGTGAGCAATAAATAGGTATTTTAGAACGGCAGGGCTCAGGAAATAATCCCCACGGGGAAAGGAGGTGGGCTGTTGCCCGGGGAAGAAACAGCAGAGGAATGACTTAATAATAGTCTTGAGCCTCTCGAAGTGTTTTGGGGAGGAGGAAGGCGAACAGCTGTTGTCTTTCCTGAGGGAAGAACAAGAGACTCCAGGGCTCATCCTAGAGTCTGTGACCCTCAGGCTAAAAGCTGGTGGGGGAAGAGGAGCTCCGCCTGGAGTGCCCGAGGAGGGGGACTCCCTGGGGTCGGCAGCCCACCCCGGCCCCTCACGCCCCTGGCTGCGGAGAGGACGCACGTTGCCAGGCTCAGGCATCGGGTTGTGCCATTTCTCTGGTTCGCCCACGGACTTTGCACACTTTCCACCCTCGGGTTAAGCTGCAAGTTTCCTATCCTCTTACCCGATACCTAGCAGGGCACCCAGTGGGTCCCACACAACTTACTGATGGCCCCCAGTCACCACCCACGGGGTGCCTCTTTTTAATCAGGTGCTGGGTGGAGGTGAGCACCCAGTCCTGAGAATTTTAAAAAATCTGCTAAAACGGTAGGTCTTCTTTGGGAAACAAGCATACAGACCAGGTTCCCGCCACCCCCTCATCCCCAGGCAGCCTCCAGTCTAGGAAGGGAGAGAAGACCCGTGTGAGATTGTCCAGAAGCCACACCGACCTGTAGCAGCTCACGTGTAACTGCGGATATTACACGTCAGAGGCCAGAGGACTCCTTTCTGGGTCGGGGTGGCAGGGGCACGTGTCCGAGCCACTGAGCCAGGCTGGAGCCCTGAGAGGCAGAATGAGGTGTACTGTAGGGACCAAGAACTGAGCGTGAATTCCAAACTAGTCTTTGCCCCCCGCCCCTTCATAAGGAGCTAAACGGGAGGTGCCTGGGGGCAGGAGGTCTGGGTTGTTTGGGGGTTTCCCCCCTTTTGAAAAAATTTTTTTAAAGATTTTTATTTATTCATTCATGAGAGACACAAAGAGGCAGGCTCCATGCAGGGAGCCCGATGTGGGACTCGATCCCAGGACTCCAGGATCGTGCCCTGGGCAGAAGGCAGGTGCTCAACCGCTGAGCCACCCAAGCATCCCTTTTTTTCCCTTTAAAGAGCTCAGGGGAGGCAGACACATAGCCTTGGAGGTTCCTAGTTTGGATAGCTGCCCCCCCCCCCCCCCGCCACACACACCCCATTCCCTCGCCCGTCAGGACTCTTGCCCCTGACACCACCATCCTCTAAATGCCACTGAAAAAAGGACTGTACTGACTTGTGGGCAAAGGGATGCCCTACCAGCCCAGGGGGAGGCGATGACGGCAGCTGAGGTCTGTCTGGGAAATGCATGCAGGGAGACACACAGGCTTCAGAAAAGAAATGTGAGGACCAGTATGGGAATTAAGTCGTACACAGGTCAGGGCCTGGAGCAGAAAGTGAGGGGGAGTTGCCCTGTCCCCCCGCTGGACCAAATGCACCCATCCGTGGCAAGGGATCTGGTGGCCAGAGCTGCAGTGGCCTCCCAGCCAGGCCACCTCCCTCCCGTCCACACCGTCCACACCGCACCGAGGAGGGGAGCTCCTGTGATTTCCAAGCAAGCTGGAGAGGGCTTCCACTTTGCGGCTTGCAGTGGGTCAGCCTTCCCTTCCCAGGGCCTCCCTTTCCTCCTGCTAATCTGCAGGGGTGGGGCGAGGCGGTCAGTAGGGCCCCTCTCCAGCGAATCCGTAACTCGGCCGCTGAGGCTGACCTTTCCTGGGTGCAGCCCTGCCCGGAGCAGTGAGCTAGAAGATGCCAGGGCCTCTCTCCTCCTCCCTGGACCCCTGGAGTCTGTGCCACCGCCCAGCTTCCACCCTGTAGTGCTGGCAGGAGGCCGCGAGGGGGAGCCAGCGGCCTTTACTGCTGGGGAGCCCTGCTCCAGGCCAGCCAGGCCGGCCCCCCCTGGGTGTGCTGTCACCCCCGCCCTGTGACTTTGCTGCTCCTTTCCCCTTGACGCTTACCATGTTTTTCAATCCTAATTTCTATGATTTTCTTTCCAGTATGACAGACTTAACCTGATCAAAGTAAGAAGTCTCTCTTATTTCCTCCAAGTAGAGCTCCTCTCTTCCCCTCCTCGAGTCCCCTAGGCCCCCCCACCGTCTTCCCGACTCCAGGAGCCTCTGCACTGGGGAGATGTTTTTAGGGAACGTGGGGTCTGTCTCCAGGGGCCTTGCATTCCTTTAGTGCTTGTACTTGAGAGCCCTTCTAGAATAGAAGGCAATAGAAATGTGCTCCGCTCAGCTCCCTGTCCTCAGCAGCTGTCTTGGAGTATTCTTTCCTGACTCCCCCCTGCCCCAGCCTTTTAGCCAAATCCATTCGTAACCTGTCTGAGAGCCTTTACCACCACCACCCCCCCCCGCCCCAACCTCCTTATTCTGTTTTTCCCATGCTTCTGGCCCTCTTGGCCAAGGAGGGGCGTTCTCGTGAACCCGCAGGGGCAGACAGCCCAAGTCATGCCAGTGGACACCTCTGTTCTCGCTGCCCGGGGTCTGTAGCCCCCTCTGGCTTCCCTGCCTGCCCCTTGAGCTCGGGGCTCAGCCCTGGGAGAGCAAAGCCACTGGGATGAAATTTGCCTCCAGGAGGCTGGTCAGAGTTCAAGCTCTCATGCCCACCGTGGGTATTCCCAGGAGCTACTGTGGATTGAGGAGGGGGGTGCCTTTCCCCCAGGGGTACAGATAAGAAGCCGCCTGGAGATGGCTGGTGAGGGTAGAGGCTCCCGCTGAGGGAGAAGACGGGAAGTCTTTGCTCTTGATGGTTCAGTACTTGGGAACACAAATCCCCCCCTCCACCCCCACCTTTATGAAAAAGCAAATATTGCACACAGAGGCATCACGCAGAGATGCACGCAGGTTCCCCTGGTGGAGGCTCTTGTCACTCTGAAGCCCTTTGTTCTGAACAGATGGAGAAGGGACACCTCCTTGTGGCAGTACGGGGAGAAAGAAAATCTACCTTTCCTGTTTACCTTAGGCAGGGGTGTGTAGGAGTAATCAATCATAAAGGATCTTGGGTCCCCCACACCCAGCCCAGGTTATTTCCTGTCGCCCCCTGTCCTCCTAGGGTCATGCGTGAGGGCCAGGACAATGGGGTAAGGAGCTAGGGGGCAGGTGTCTGAAAGGCCTGGCTTGGATTTGATGAGGTGCCGGGAACTGTGGGGCCGTCCAGGCTGGCAGCGCCTAGAGGGTGCCTCTCCGGTGTCGGGAGACGTGATGCAGTGAATGTCTACGCAGACCCATGCCCTGGGATCTGAGGGACAGGCCCAGGGGTGAAGACCTGCCGAGGCACAGATCGGGTCAGACGCAGCCTCTGCCCCAGCCACTCTCCTCCAGATCCGGGGAGCCTCAGCCACATGTTGGCAGGCTGATTTCCAGATCCAGGTCCAGGATTCCCATGTGACGGCAGCTCCCCCAGCAGTGACGTCGTTGGTTTTAAGTATTCATATTTGGCTTCTCTTACCTACCAAGACTTCTGGATTAGAGGAGAAAGTCAGGCTGTGGTTTGTATAGGGGGCTTCCAGATGGGCCATCGCGACAGCCTTTCTTGGGAAATGACTATGGAGAGCATCTCATCTAGAGAGTTCTGGTGGAATGGGAGAGCTGGCGGAGGAGTGATCACATCACCATGCTCCTGTCCTCGCCCATCCTCCCTCCCCCCACCAGGCATGCCCCCAGTGGACATTCAGAGGCTGTGGCTGCCCATTCCTTCCCTTATGGGTCAGGGTCTATTAGACCCTGTGTCTGGGGTGTGAAGGTTGCCAGTGGCACCCAGAATCCACCTCTCTGTGTATAGGCACAGTTTCCCCTCCCTAGTGATTCTTTGCTGCGGTGATACCCTTGGCAAGCTTTTTATAACCGGAAATGCCTCCCATCCCCAATCTAAAATTGTTGGATCAGCACCTCAAGAGATGAGACCCAGGCAAGCGTGTGCGTGTGCGTGCGTGCTCCTATCTGCCTGTCTCTCTCTCTTTCAAGTGGGGTGTGCGTAAAGGACGCCTGGCCATAGATTGGAGGTAGACAAAGCACAGTTTCAGCCGTCCTCAGTTGCCATGAAAACGAGTCCCCTTTGCCCAGGGCCCGGGATGGAGAACACCTGAATTTGGAGCTGGCACGAGTCTGGACTTTGTTGCTGAGTTACAGCACCACGAAGCCAGGAGGCACCGTTGGCAATTAATTCTGTGCTTCGGCCTTCCTCCTGGGGCACAACCCCCAGGACTCTGCTGCCTTGTCACCTCGACGGTCAGCCAGTTGTTGAACAAAGGAGAACCTCTGTCCTCTGCTCCCTGAGAATGTAGTTGGAGGAGGTTTCCGGGCGGCCCCTATTCCTCCTGCACCCGAAGGGTCCCCTCTTGCCTTCTACAGAGGGGTTGACTTGGAGCGGAAGGCTGGGTTGGTCTCGATCTGCACTTTGCTTCTGGTCAGGGCCCCTTGGGGGACCGGGTCTTGGATGCCTGCAGCGCATCCCTTACCCCCATCAGAGAACCTCATGATGGGGCTCCGACTCCCCTCCAGCTGAGCTCTGGCTGGTGCTGCCGCTGCCTGCCGCCCCGACCTTGGTGAGGCTTCCAGCATGGACTGCTCCCCGGGCCTCCTTTCTGGAGCTGTCTTGAGAAAGGAGGACCCCTCTCAAGCAGCCACATGGGAAGCATTCAGCTGCATTTGGATTCCTCCTCCCTGCCCGCCCTCTGCTGTCTGTGTATCCTTCCCTCGAGCCAGGCACACCCTGGCCAGTCCCGCCATCTCTTCCCTGACTAATTGTACCTTTCTCTCATTTTGTCCTTTCAGAAAAGCCAGAGTTGGTATAACGTAAGTATCCCCGTTTCTCTTCTTGTCGGGTGCATGGGCAGCGGGTGGGGGATGGAAGTGGGTGGGGTGGGGGGGTGGAGAGAGGTCTGGGGTGCGGTGTGGCTGCCCTATGGGCCTGAGCAAGTTGCCGGGCCCCTGAGTGGCCTCCTTCCTCCAAAACCTGACCCACTGGTTATCCTGTGCAGCAGGATTCAGGGGTACCAAGGAGGGACGGCCCCCATTCTCCTCCCCTAGACTCCTGGACAGGGTTCCTCCAGCCTCAATGGAGGGGACCTGCTGGGGGAGGCGTCCAAAAACCAGGGAGAGTTCTGGGACCGGGACAGCCCTGGGCCTGAACTTAGGACCAAACTTTTCTTCCCTTAACCGAGACATTTTAGGGGAAATGCAGCCAGAAGACTTTTCCCCGTTAGTATAGGGGTTGTTCCATATAGTGGAATTTGTCTTCTGCTCCAAGGCCTACCTCCACCGCCCCAGGGGCGCGTTCCTTCTAGAAGGCATCTGCTGTTCGTGGGTCCATGGTAAAGGGGTAGCCCGGGGTCATCCGTGGTGGTGGCTCAGCCAGCTGCTCCGCACCCAGGAGCTGTACTGTGGCGTACGCAGCCCCGTCTGGGACCTCAACCCCCGTCTCGCAGACTGGGCTGCAGTATTTTGAACTTTTCCCCTGGAGAGCAGCAGACTGAAGTGTCGGCCAGCCCCCGCCACTTGTACTCTGCCCTCTGGGACTGCACAGCGGAGGGCCTGGCCTCGGGGCCTCGTCTTTCCTGCTCCAAGCCTGCTGTTGCCCACACTTGCGTCTGCGTGACCATGCAGGTACCACCTCTGCGCCTCCCCTAGGGCCAGGTCCCACGGGCATGTGGAGCATGTGGGAAAAGGCTCTGGGTGATGGAGCTGTGGACACCTGGGGGAGGGGGTGCCGGGGTCAGTGTAGGGACTGGAGTCAGAGTCCCTGGTGTCTGTGTGCGGGGTGAGGTAGGGCCTCCGTGATGTCCCAGAGCAAGCACACGTCAGCCGCCCCGTGGCTCCGACCTCTTGCTGTGCGCCGGGCCTGCCCGGCCCTGGGCAGCTCTGCCCACCTGGCCTGGTGCACACGAGGCAGAGGGTTGCAGGGCCGAGGTGGCCTGAGTCGAGGAGAAGCCACACGACACCCCCTCATTCCCCAGGCCTCCCCCTGGGGCCCGCCGTGGTCTTCAACCCACGTGCTGCTTGGAGCTCACATCCTGGAGACAATCGAAGCTGCTTCTGCGAGGGAGGAGTGGGGGCCCCGCTTTCCTCGGAGCTGTGTGGGACCTCCGGCATCCCTTACCCCACCAAACCTACCCCCCCTGAGCGAGATTGCAAAATTAGTGCCCCCCAGGGAACAGGAGACAAGTGGCTGGGGACATGTTAGGCCAATGAAACGTCCTAATTTGGACATGCGAGTCCCCGAGCCTGTGGCTGGTCCCCAGCCTCCTCGTCCCTCCTCTTCCTCTTGATCCCTTTCAGTCAGGCTCTTCTGTTCCATCTCACTCTTCCTTTCCTTGACTCTCCCTACCCTTCTCTCTGGCTCCTCCTCCTCGCCCTTCTCTGATTTCCCTTCTCTGGCTGGCCGTCCCTCCCTCTCTGCGGCCATGTACCGTCCTCTCCTGGGCCTTCCTGGGAGACACTCAGGAATGCCCAGTGTCTCCTCCAGCCTCTTTCTTACCCCTCACCCCAAATGAATTACAGAAACGTGACGGCCTGTCCCCTCGGCACAGATCGTCACGCACAGAGGCCAAGTGCACAAGGGACTCTGCTGAGCAGCGTGTTTCGCGCTCCCTCTGGCCACCCTCTTTCTGGGACTGGGACTGGGACTGGGATGCGTGCTCTCACTCTGGGGTGTCTTGCAGACAGACCCCAGGGGGCCTATCCAGAAATGTCTTCCCCCGTGGCTCCCTTTGGTGGCTCTGTTTCCACGTTGCCAGGCAGGTGTGGCACCTTGTCTGCCTTCCGTGGGCCCGGGGCCTGCTCGGCTTCCTCTGCGGAGGCCTGGCGTGGGGCAGGGACAGCTTGCAGCATGGAAGATGTGCAGGAGGGACAGGGAAGTGGTGCCGAGAGGTGACAGGGGACCTCCAGCCGGCCTGAGCTGCAGATGCCAGGAGCTGTGTCTTAGTTCCTCTTTCCACTTTGTCTTCATGTGTTTTCATATCGGGAGGGAAATGAGCCGCTGGTGTCACAGGTGGAGCCCGAGAAAGGCTGGCTTGGGTAAGCCCGGGCCGCTTCTCCCGTGTCAACCCTGCTCTCCTCCTGACGCCGAGCCCGACGCCCTGGCTCCGAGCTTGCCCGCTTCTGGGTGTCTGGAGGAAGCAGGATGCCGTCTGTCCCACGCAGTGTGCGCCACCCGCATCTCGGCCCACTCATGGTACCAGCTGGCTTATCTGTGGAGCGAGCCTGAGCGTGGCCGTTCCCCTAGGCACCGTTGCCTTGGCTCAATCAGGAAGCTGGCACCCAGGGGTTTCCCCGGAGCCACCCGAATCGATGCACATGGGCGTGGGGTGCTCCCAGTGCCTGCGCCCCTGGGTGGCCAGACACCCCCCTGCTGCGTGGCATATCTGTGACTGTGCTCTTGCGGGCAGAGGCCCCACCAGGGCCTTCAGGTCAGCTCCCTGCCCCCCTGCTCCCCAGCACTGCCCTCCAGTAGTACATTCATGGTTTTCCAGAAGGCACTCACCTTGCCCATGCATTGCCCTGTCTCCCCTTCTCAGCTCTGCTGACAACCCTCTTTGTAATCGGTCTCCTGACCCTCTGGTGGTGCTCCAGCTGTGCTGCTGCCTGAGGTGCCATCGTCATGTGGGTAGGCCAGGGCTTCATCATCCCAACTCTAGGGGGACAGTCACACATGCCCTGGTCAGGTTGGAGCCTGGGGGGTCATCGCGCCGCTGCTGACCGTGGAGAGAACATCTCAGGTTGTTGGAGTAGCTTGGATCTGAAGGAGGGAAAGCCCCCCTGGTACTCCCCTGCTTGCTCCCCAGCTCCCTCCTTTACCTGTCTGTCTTCTACATTTTACTTGTTTTTTTTCTCTCATACTTGCATTTATTTTTCTTGCCGGAATAACACAAAACATAGTGATAGCGAATAGACTTCTGTGATTTCCTGGGGCAAGATTTCACTATTCTGTTTTTAAATATAGCATTTGTGATATATATTCATTTACTTATTTATAACTTTTTTTTACTTCAATTTAATTAATATAGACTGTGTTGCTAGTTTTAGAGATAGAATACACTGATTCATCAGTCTCATATAACACCCAGAGCTCATGCCATCACGTGCCCTCCTTAACGCCCGTCTCCCAGTGACCCCATTCCCCCCAGCAACCCTCTATTTCCTAGAGTTAAGAGTCTCTTATGGTTTGCCTCCCTCTCTGGTTTTCCTCTCGCTGTATTTTTCCTTCCCTTCCCCTCTGTTCATCAGTTTTGTTTCTTAAATTTCATATGTGAGTGAAATCATGATATTTGTCTTTCTGATTTATTTTGCTTAGCATAATACCCTCTAGTTACATCCACGTCGTTGTCAGTGGCAAGATTTTATTCTTTGTGGTGGCTGAGTAATATGCCTGTGTGTGTGTGTGTGTGTGTGTGTGTATCACGTCGTCTTTACCTTTCCATCAATCGATGGGCATTTGGGTTCTTTCCACAGTTGGTTATAGTAAACCTTGCTGCTATAAACATTGGGGGGCAGGTGCCCCTTTGGACGACTATGGTTATGTCCTGTAGATAAATACCCAGTAGTGCAAATGCTGGGTCATAGGGTAGCTCTATTTGTAACCCTTTGAGGACCCTCCACACTCTTTTCCAGAGAGGCCGCACCAGTTTGCATTCCCACCAGTGGTGCAAGAGGGTTCCCCTTTCTTTGCATCTTTGCCAACATGTTGTTTCCTGACTTATTAATTTTAGCCATTCTGACCAGTGTGGTGTGGTATGTCATTATTGCACATTTTACTTTTACCTGTCTAGCCAGGTGTCAGGAGGAACTCATCACCATGATGGCAAACCACTTTGGCCTAAAGAATGGGGAGCCCATGGAGGGAAGTGGCTAGACTCCAGGGACATGTGGAAGGACTGAGGCATGAGAGCTACTGGTCTCTAGCAGGGGTATGACATGCAGACCAAGCGTGAGGTGTGAAGGCAGTGCAATCTACAATTGCCTTAAGGCCTTCCCAGGCCTGATTATATCTATACCCCCATACCCTTGACCTCCCCACCCCCACCCCACTTGGCTATCCCAGCTTCATTCATCAGGGCCCCCAGCCTGCGAGACACGGCCTCAGTAGCCATGAAATGGGATAAGCAGGAACAGGGTTTTAAATTCAGCGGGGAGCCAAGGGCAAAGATAGGGATGGGAGGGGTATAGCCTGTCCCCCAGAGGTGGCCCCTTTGGGGTGTAGTGTAGTAGGCTTGCATCTTGGATGGAGCAGGAACAAATCTCCACCTCGGTGCCTCATCTGGACACAGGTAACTGTCCTCATTTGCTTCACCTCTTTCCTGGGGCGGGGGGGGGGGTGTCTTTCATCACGGCAACCCAGGGAAGCAGCTTGTCGGAGATCAGAGGTCCAGTGCCTAGGCCCTGGCAGCTGGGAGAGACTTAGCACCCAGGCTGCTCAATGCCCTGGGATGGGGATGCTGGCTTTTTGGTGGAAGGAAAGGATAGGTGCCAATCCTGTGGCATGACCGAGTGGGTCTGGCAGGCATAAGATGGAGAGCAAGAGAACAAAGCTTTGTGGGCATGAAATTGGGAATTAGGGGGCAGTACAGAAAGTGGAAGGGTTTTTTGTTTTTGTTTTTTAAATATATTTATTCATGAAGACACAGAGAGAAGCAGAGACATAGGCAGAGGGAGAAGCAGGCTCCCTGTGGGGATCCCAATGTGGGACTCGATCCCAGAACCCTGGGATCTGAGCCGAAGGCACATGCTCAGCCACTGAGCCACCCAGGCGTCCCCAGAAAGTGGAAGTTCTGAGTGAGGAGATGCCACCTACAGCCTCG